CCTGGAAGTGTGCAAGGCCAGGTTGGAGCAACCTGGGCTGGTGGGAGGTGTCCCTGCCCATGGCAGGGGGGGCACTGGGTGGGCTTTATGGTCCCTTCCCACCCAAACCATTCTGGGATTCTAAATGTCCCCAGCTTGCTGTCATGAAAGCTGCCATCGAATCCCAGGATACCCTGAGCTGGAAGGGACCCACAAGGACCATCCAGTCCAACCCCTGACCCTGCCCAGGACACCCCAACAATCCCCCCCTGTGCCCCAGAGGATCATCCAAACACTCCTGGAGCTCTGGCAGCCTTGGGGCCGTGCCCATTGCCCTGGGGAGCCTGGGTAGTGCCAACCACCCTCTGGAAAAGACCCTTTCCCTGAGATCCAACCTGACCCTCCCTGGCACAGCTCCAGCAGCTCCTCAGGCTGCAGAAGGTTTGCTCAGCTGGCAGAGCTGTGGGTGCCATGGCAGGAGCAGCCCCTCAGCCCAGGTGAAGGGGTCGCTGCTCATTTCCCCCCGGCCATGCCCATCCCACCCCATCCATCCCCCAAGGATGTGGAGTCCCACAGAGCCCCTCCCTCACCATCCAGGGCCTGTGTGACGTCCCCCTCGTCGTTGAGGAACTGGGCCATGGAGGAGCTCAGCTCGTCCTCGGCGCCGTCGCTCTCGTCCGACGACAGCCCGTGAGCCCCGTGCTGGGACAGCTCTGCCTCCTCCTCCAGGAACTGCCTGGCCGTGGCCTGGGAAAACAGGGGGCCTTGCAGGGGGTTCTGATGCACTAATGCTGCCCTGAGACCCCCGAGTCACTGCAGGCCAGCAGCTGCACCATCACAGGCACCAGGCTCCTGGCTTGGGCAGGAGAATCCCATGGCCTGTGGACCCTGGACAGGGAACAGCCCAGGCAGAGCCACCAACACGGGGGGCTGAGCTGCCCGACACCATCCACGGGCTTTGCAGCTCATACACCCAGTGTGACTCTTTTTATTTGCTGTCAAAAACCTGGGTTCCTTTTGAAGGGCAGGATTCCCCCAAACCCAAATCAGTGGGAACTTCAGAGCCCGACCCCACCTGGGTTCACCCTTTTCTGCTCAGGTGCCAGCTCCTTAAAGGATTTACTGGCTCCAGTGCCAGGGGCTGCTCTGGTCACAGTCTGTGTTGATCTCATTGCAGTTCTCTCCTGACAGGGCTCCCTGACTGATAGTGGACTGGTCTCAGTGGTTTTAATGCCTGGGATCTCCTGTGGATCTGGAATTCTGGCCTGTCCACCACTATGGATGTTTAGGTAAGGTCAGTGTGAAGGCACAGCAGAATTTCCTAAGCAGACACACTCTTTTTCTATGATCCTTTTGGTCCCACCTTAAAAAAAATGTTTCAATCTAACTGAAAAATGGATTTTAATCCACCTCATTCTTTGTATCCCAGAATATAAAACACTGATACCGTAGGGAAGGCTTGACAATGAAGATTATCTTTCAAACATCAGAAATATCCAATGTATTGTGCCCTGGAGCCCTGATTATGGCAATTGCTGCCCAGTGGAACCACAGCCACAAATATTTAAGAGCTCTTCACTTAGGATGATTCTGGCCCTGCTTCCTCTCCTGCTGCAGTGATGGACTAAAGTATCAAATACTGAGCTAAGATTTAAGATTTGGGGTTGAGGGACCATTGCTGTCTTGAATGTTCAAAGTTTGAGCCCTCAGAGTAGGGGGTAAATTTATATGATCAAGTATCCCAATGCAAATAATAATAATAATAATATTAATTTCTGGGCAAGACCCTGAGCTCCCAGAGATGACTAATCCTTGAGCATTTCTAAAGATTGTAAAGTGGACATTGTTATTTGGCTTCAGAACTGTGTCACCAGGGCCCAGCAGACTCTGACAGGCAGGAAGGGATGGCAGGGCTCA